TCCCTCTCACCCTCCCCCTCTTACCCCTCTCCCTCTCACCCCTCTCCTTCTCACTCCTCTCCCTCTCACTCCTCTCCCTCTCACCCCTCTCCCTCTCACCCCTCTCCCTCTCACTCCTCTCCCTCTCACTCCTCTCCCTCTCACCCCTCTCCCTCTCACCCCTCTCCATCTCACCCCTCTCCCTCTCACCCCTCTCCCTCTCACCCCTCTCCATCTCACTCTTCTCCCTCTCACTCCTCTCTCTATATATATACATATATATCTCTCACCCATCCCTCTTTGCTCCCCTAGCTGCTCACTCATTAAAAGATCAACATATTGAGTGTTGGTGTCAAGTGGGGTCTGGGGACGATTGGGCATGTTCCGTAGCGATATTATGCTCATAATATCGAACCAATCGAACCCATTGAATATGGATGCTTTGTACCGAGCATGGGACGCAAAAAATGTGGGTGCTAGGGCTGAGATTGGCCGTATGGTAAATACTCCCAGACTGCTAAATGTGACACACAAAGAATGGTCTAGCTTTAAGTGCCTGCTCGGATTGTAAGCGAAATTGAATGAAGGCAGATGTATTATACTGGCTCAATATTCACCAGAATGTCATGCATTAAGGAGTGCAGTGTCCCGGCATGTGGTGGACTGGTCAGCGGCAAAACCACCCGGCATCTCTTAAAGAAGTCATTTCAGGTATTAGGATCTGTGAGCCATGGTGTGAGTCATATTTTGAAATGTAAAGCGGCAGCCACAAAGGATTTATCCAATTTATGGTATGTCATACCATTTGCTAATAATGTACTGTACTGCCCATTTCTGCCCCATCATATTTTAAAGTCATAAAATTGTTCACTGCGCAAGCATTTTCATTGTGACACTATGTGTTCGGTGCTAAATTAGCCTTCGAATATTGTGACGAAATTGTTGCCGGCATAAACGCTCGCGTAATTTGGCAAACGATAATTTCCAAATATGACAAGGAAATTGACAACATCATTATTAACTCCTTAACTTACAGACTAGAGTATTGTACTGTAACCATCATCAACAAGCAATTAATGACAATTATATTAAGGTTAACCAAGGTTTTAGGGATAGAGGATGGTGATCTGCACCGTGAATAACAATGCTCAATACTATCATCTCGAGCAAATATTCCTTCCCCTGCTCCAATCACTGTGTCCTTATTAAAACACGCCCCATGGAGCGTCCTCTGAATGGTTTGTAACATTGAGCCGGTGAAAAGGTCGGGTATCACGTGACCTTGGCGCCGTGTCGGGTCATGAGTCTTTAACCTAATCATCTCCCAGGCACCACAATGAACTATATCACAATAATGGGCTTATGATCGATCAGTAATCGTCCGGAAACTCCTCTTAACATTTGAAAAACATGGTGATAAAAGCTAATGATTTCCGAGGAACAGGGGGCATATAAAGGCCATTTCAGAATAAGTATCGCAGGTCACTAGCCCGGAGAAACCCTCGCTCACGATTATATTTCTACCATTGTAACGGAGAAGAAGGGTTATAATCTGATAACCACGAATTAACTCTCCGAAAGTGTCCCGATTTAGCCAGGGTATTTCACTGTGTAAAAATCAAAGCACAGAATTTGCTAAAACGGTTTTTCTGAAAAGGGGGCACTACATGATGGCATGTTCACATGGGTAAGGAATTTTTGAAATAAACCCGTCGTGAATTGTGAAGTACCAGTCTTGAATCATGAATTACCTGCTACCATCATCATTAGAATCCATGGTTAAGCAGTACAAATTAAACGGCTGGTAACTATGTTAGTATGTTTCATTTACCAGACGATGAACAAGGTGGAAGATATTCAAAGCATAACATTTACCTCGCGACTTGCTTAAGTTGTCACTATTATAAATGGAAGTGTGCAGTAAAGTAGAATCGCCAGCTCAGGAGACAGTGATTACCGAGATAAACACTTACATTAAAGTTGTTGTAAAGCAGTATCAGAAGGAATGTTCCTGAGAAACGTTTTGAAGCAGAACACTTCAAAATGAAAATGATAATTGACTGATTGTCCGTAATCGCGTCAACAGCTTGAAGCTTGGTTAAAGCAGGGGCTCACTGCGGGTAAACCAGACAAATATTTGCCATTAGTGGTAACAGTCGTAATTGTGGGTGGGAAGTTTATCTTGATTGCGGATAACTGATCGGCGTAGGATAGTTTATATACTACGGCGTAGGATAATTTATATACATGTTTTGTCTCAAGTGCCGGTTTTAGGACCGCAAATTTAAGGATTAATAGTGTGGTTAAGGGTAGGATAGAAATGTCACTGTTTCTATCCGGAATAGTGTCTGTCCCTAGAACTGACTATGGCTGAAGAGGCTTGCTAGAAATTCGTTTAACATGACGTCACGACTTAACAAACAATCTCTTACCAGGAGATACGAGTGCTGGATCAGGTGTCCAAATGAACGAGTCCACGTGTCTGGCAAGCATCTCTCACAGCTTTAATGTTCTTAGTTAAATAAGGAATAGCAGTTAGCACTATACTTACTGCCAAAATCTTTAATCAGATGTACCATTTTTATGATAATTATCATCTTAGCTGGGTATTGGAAGATCACAGCCCCTCTGCATGATACAAATTGCTAAGCTATTTTAGACAGTTGATTGAAAGTTGATGATTACATTTCCCTTAAATGGTAAGAAAGCTGCAAGGTTATAAAAAATTGAATGTGGAGACGATGGATTGGTAGGTCAATCAGCCTGTGTCCATCTATTATAGTGTGATTTATACTGTTATAGTACTATTATGGGTCCCATAGCCACTTAAAGTTATTCAAATACAAATTTCAGCTATTGGACGAGACTTGGTATTTTTAAACAGTTTTTTTGGGATCGCATTATTTTATTGACAAACATTTTATGGCAAACCTTAGTTTATGGTGATGTAACATATATTTCAAAATTTAAAAAAAATATATATTTACAGTCATGAGATAAATGAAACAAAAGATTCTAGAAATGTAAATTGTTAGAATGTTCTAGCACATAACAGAGCAACACATACACAAATTAGGAGCGAGCATGTCTAATTGATTCAGAAAATCCCACCTTTCATTTGAATCAAAATACCTGTCCCTTTCCCATTTCCTAATCCTATCCCTATAAATAAATTTGTGAAGTTTGTTTTATATTTCAAGCTCAGTATATCGATTATTATATTTGGCTAACACAAAGGCATAACCTGCGAATTGCACGAAATTATTACCCATATAACATGTTTTGCTTAATGCCCCCAGGCCAAGCTTAACGAAACGCAAAGTAAAATAACGGATATTTTTGACGGACATCAGATATTCTTGGAATTCTTTTTTGACGGATAGTTTCAACATCAGACATTCTTGGAATTCATCCGATGTAAAAAAAAGGTTGCTTGTCTAAAAATAGAAAGTTCGATAAACCTGCTTTCTTAGTCATTGTGCATTAAAAGCCTAGATTGATGTTGTTTTATCATTTAGTGGTGTTACTGCCAGTGAAACTCTGGGTTTAGGATTTTTGTGGCACAGTGCCAAATAACATGCAGTGTCTGTAAATATTGAATAATTCCTTTTCCGATTATTGTACTAAATTGCCTTCCCCTCTCCCTCCCCCTCTACTACATCAATCTGCCCAGATCTGATGTAATACTGCTCATGTTCTGAATCAAAAGACACACCGGTAAACGTAGCTGCAAGTTTAAAACACTTGGAACTTAGAATACAGTAGGAGAATATTCCTTGCTGTCTATGACGCATTATCAACCACCATCACGCTCTACAGTCAAACTCCAAATTATTGGCAATCGGCCAACTCCGCTTCTAAAATATGTCAAAAATAATCTCAAATTGTCATCCACTCCACCCTACGCGATGTAGCCGCCCTAAGTAGAGATTTTAGCAATCAAAGCCGGAGAGTTTGCACTGCAGAGCGGAATAATACATTGCCGTGACTGTGTGACTTAACATTCACCATTATAATGAATTAAAACTTATGTGTGTGCCGGAGCTATGTGCGAAAATGGAAAAAATTATGTGCCGAACATTGCATTCTGTAAAGAATATATTGTCGTAAAATGATAATCAAAAATAAGTTGTATTCTCAACTTTATGTGTAATCATTATATTATATGATCGGCCCTGGATCTGAAGATCGGGCCTAGCCCCCAGTGACTTTCTACACACAATACTATAATATGCAACTTAATTAAAAATCATAATAAACCTACAATGTGTGTGTCACCCAAATATGTATACAAAATAAATATTACAGTAACAAAATGAACTCCGAAATAAAGTTGATATAATATAATGCTATAAAACAGTAATTTACATGAAAACCATGATATATTATGTAATAAGAGCCAATATGTATGTAATGGTAATATGTTTTCAGCGTTGATAGACAATAATTTAACAAAAATAATATTATGTCAATATCAATAGTCATTAAATTATTTGAAAGGTAGAGTAAACATTTTTAAACCTTAGCTTTGAATAGCTATAATAATGAGGGAATAATGCCACTTGTTAAGATTATAATTAGTTTAGTTCAGCAAATATCATAAAGTGTGCGCACTAACAACATCACAACAAAAACACTATTAGGTACAGATTTGTTTATTTTAACTAAAAATGGAGTGCTGGCTGTTTCACTCTCTCGATATTTTGCAACTCTGTTTTTGTGATGGAAGCGTTGTTGTTACCGTGGTGTTGACCATGATGTTTGGGCAACAGAAACAACACGTCACGGATATCATTTTCATACTTTTAGTGCTCTCGAATGGAGTGAAACAACCAACTAAATCAGCGATGATACACATTAAACACGATTAGAAAACCAAAGTAAATTAACGGTATATATTCAGCCCTATTTTTATATATCATGTCTAATAAATTATAAATAAATAACCTAGTAAAAAATTTCAAAAATTATGTCTGCCAAATATATGGTTAAAATAAATCCTCAGTAAATCAAGTAAATAATCATACTGGCACGTGGAAACAGTAATCATAAAGGAGCAGCCACATGACCTGCCGCTCCTGAATGAATACTTGTTAATAATACAATTTAATTAAACAAAGATAATCAGAATAGGTTTGATGTATGACAATGTGCCGTGCGTAATCTTGGAATATCTCAGGGGAACTTTTTAACCAACCAAATCAAATAATTCAGAAAAATATGATGTAATTCCGAAGGTGGTGCGTTTGTAAGAGATTTGGATATGGTTTTAATAAAGTTCCCTCGAATACCAAGATTAGTATAATTTGAAACCTTCAAGCTTCAATATAATTGAATTCTAAAATATGCTAAATGATCAATAATGTAATATTTGGATGCAAACAATATAAGCTATCGGAAATCAAGATCTTATGAAATACGGTATATTATAATCATCGGTGTTCAGTTATTTTTAACTTTTACTTCTATACATAGGTACGATTTTAGTTTTCCACATAGATAAACGAAACATAATTTTAAGTAATATTTTCAAGAATATGCCAAATATTTTTATATTTTAACACAAAACAGCTATAGTAGTATTAATGAAAAGTTACCTTATCCCCCAATAAGACTTCATGCGCTGAAACGCGATGAAGAACACTACACTGATTAAGAGATCTTTAAAAAATTTGATTTGAAAATTATGAACGAATAATAATTCAAGCAATAGATATTTTGGTCCAAAAAAAAGATTTTTTACCCAAAATTAGAGAATTGCCGGATCAGTAGTTAAAATTTTGGGGGTAAAAGTAAAGGTTATAATGTTAGTAGAGAACAGCATGTAACACAATTTTAACATGATACTATACCACAGGATCAGACTAATTATCAAGCCAGAAATAAACATCAGGAGACATCATGACCCGATTCAATTACTTACCAATTATTCAACTAATGGTTTCTAATGATAATTACCAATTAGCTAAAACTTTCTACAGTAAATTATTACAATTATATCACAGCTCACCCCAGCATTATCATTGTGCCCTTTAAAATCAATGCATCGTGATTAACATAGCCTGAGCTAGAGCTATAAGACAATGATATTACATATCAAAATAAACTGCCGATATCATGGTCACATATATAGATGTAAGACCTGCAATAATCTCAGACAAAATGTCATATCACTAATAATAATGATGACAATATAATTCAAAACACCGTATTATAATATAAAATGTACAAGTGGAAAAAAACGTTTGTGCAGGTGGCAGTACAAACCGTGTCAAAAATATCATAACTCGTTACCCTGGGACATGATAGAGTCCGCCTTAAAAACTACCAAAGTATATGATTCATAATCTGCTACGATAACATGATTAACTTTATATCAATCACGTGAGTTACGAGCCCAAAATATACTCAAAATATTATGAATGTTCCATTCGTGTGACAGTGTGTGAAAATCTCCGAACGTTCCCTCGAAAAAAGCTCTCAATTTGCAGGCGAGCAAGCAAGGCCTGGAGCACTACGCGGAGCTGGTCAAGCCGTGACTCACAATCTCCATCCTGGACTCGGACTCAAGCTGAGGTGAACTCTTACCTTCGCCCTTGTTTGGGTGCCGTCTGATGAAGTGCGACTTGAGGCAGCCCTGAGGTGGGAAAATCCGTTAAAACTCTTCCGGAAATACTTTGTGATGGACGCGGCTATTATTACTTGTAGGCCAAAATACATTTGACTGTCAAGGTAAAAGAAAAAATTCAAAGGATGAAACCTTGTCTTTGAAAGTAGTAGAGTAAGAAATAAATTAATTATGAACCCTGAGTTAAGAGTTTTAGAGGTTAGAGCTTTAGAGGTGGCAAGGTTTAAAGTGATTATAAAAACCTTGCGTTTGAATGTCATGTCGCACTGTGGGCACTTGAAGGGTTTAGCGTTGCTGTGTATGACCATGTGAACCTTGAGGTTGCTGCTTGTGCTGCTCATCTTGCCGCACACTGGGCACTGGTACTTTCTCCCTGAACTGTGCATCACCTGAAATAGTGAGTTAGTTGGAGGGGGTTCTTCAATCATATCCTAAATGATACGATATTTTTTATAAGCAGGAGCTTTCAAAATATATGTTTAAATCGTCTGATCGGTTCTTCCTTGGGACATTAGGTAAAGTGGGAAATTGGTGAACTCAGCATTTCTTAAAGCTAACTGCGCTAAACAGGACATTTATTTTCCGGTCATATCGACAAGATAAATTGGAATTGGAATTAGAAGTCAGAACAGAATATATGATTTTTCAAGTATGAAGTTCAATTACAATTTAAATGGCTCAACATTACGAAAATCTTCGAACCAAATTACAGAATAAATACTAAGATACTGTTCAAGTAAATAATTGTTTAGCTTTATTTAATACTACCAACAATAACCGGCTAACTGTTTCACTTTATTCAGCCCCAAAAAAACAAAGCACCTACAAATAACTAATAAGTCCTAACACCTTCACATGGGTTGCCAAAATTAAATAGTACCAACGCAATCTTCATGATATTGATTACCTATTGAACATAAGATTGGATCTGTAACATTTTTCCGAATGAACATCCGCGCCTAAATACCGTTGAATTTAACCGAACATAAATACCGGCGCCATTACGTAACCCAGTTTAAACCAACGCCGGCACGTGCTGGAATCTTGTAATTTTCAAAAAATTGCAGAAATTCATGTGGCTGTGGTTTGTTACCTTAATGTACGTGAGTGGGTCTGTGGATTGTGTGCTAAACGATTCCTCCCACGTACTACTCAGAACCAGACAGGTGAAGTCTTAACCGTCACCCCACTTACCTCTTAACCTGCTCAATAAATCTCTAAATAGGTGTCCTGATTGCGCAATAAAACGGATCATGTAAGGGTACGTGCGCCAGGGTGGTAATACGTCCTTATTATCGTGGTTCATTGCATACCATTCTTCCACCGTTGGTAAAGTGACAAGGTGTATAAATCATAAATGTAAGTGCATTCCAGAGTTCATTACTACTACCAGCGATTGGGACACGGCCGGCCCATTAATGAAAACCCGAATGAGCCTCAAGGCAAGACATTAATAAGAATAACGTTAGCTGGTGTCCCCAACAATGTGATCCTAACCTACTCATCAAATTATAACGGCAAACTAGTGGCCACAGGAACTTTCATCTCCTCGACATACTCATGAATAATACATGGTCTGTGCCATGTTCTTATGAAATGGAGCGAAACACAGCTCACTACATTCAAAAGAGGGATAAATAATATGTTGACATGTCTAAGTGCCTGAGTTTCTAATGGAAAATAATTCCTCCGTCCCTCTATATAAATCTACCGCTATTACACGCCTAGCGTTATGATAATTAGATAGTGCTATTAGTGAATAGGCATGAGTAGCAGCCGAAAAATTGGCATAGCTCTGAAGCCAGTGCGTTTTCATTCAGTTCATGTTTCCAAGAAATTAGCTTCTGAAAAGATAGTCCGTTACATTCAATAAAAAATGGTTATTCTTTCATGAGTCAACCGGCAATCCAAGGCAAATGTATGAGGTGATCCACTGCACCAATTCACTGTTTTTGTAATTTAATTATTCAACCCGTGGTCAATTTATATGATCTAATGTTTGATCCATTGGCGCTAAAAGCATGCTCTAAATAGCGAAGATTTTTCCAATGCCGATTTTTCGGATATACTGTACAAATGAATTTTGAGCAAAAAGTTGGTGGATCACTGAGAGTGGTTGTGTATTGTATAAAATAGTGATAGAATGAGTCCCGACCTTCATCGCACGGCTTCTTTTGTGATTGGAGTCTGGTTCCTTTTTTAGCACTTTGCCACAAAAGGCCAAGTGTTAAAGTGTATCAATAACCAAAAGTCTGCGGAGTATGACCTTCATTAATAATATCGGCTTCTATCATTGTCATGCAACCGCTCAAATCTACACTTGGCATGCTGCCAGCTCAATTGTAAACTTGGCATGTTGCCACTTAAATTTTACAATAATTGGAATTCTGCCAACTCAGTCTTACAGTTACACAGGTCTGACAAGAACTGTTAAATATCATGATTACAAATTGAAATACTATCAATAGCAGCTTTAATGGACCTATCCCAAATTAGCTGGCTCACATGAAATACCACTGTAAATTGCGTAATAGAACTTGGCCTTAGAAATGCCTTGGTGGAGGCAAATCATTATTTTGATAAAATTTAGGTGCATGAGTAGCTCATTGAGCACCAATATTTAATAATAGTTATGAAATGACCTCCATCCAGACTCTCGTATCTGAGAATTTGTTTAGGTGAGTGAGGTGTGAGTGAGTGTGTGGGTGAGTGTGTGTATGAGTGTGCTCACTTTTTTATTGGCATGTTTTGGCGTGGCCGGGCAATTTACCTGAGCAATTTCACCCTTTATTTTGACTATCGTTAATTTACTCTATTGGTTTCTTACCATTAAAACATGTTTTAGTTTAAGTATTTAAGTAAAATGTGCGCAAAATTAGGGTTATTTTAGGTAATTGCCGTTATTAACTATAAATCCTCATTCGATTCGATCCAAATTTTCGCTAACAAGAGTTTCAAAAACGTCTGTCATCTATGAAAAAAAAATAATTATACTCAAAATTTGAGAAGAGCTGTCTATTTTATGGGCAACAAGGAGGGAAAAATGAGAAAAATACGTGTATGTTCAAACAAACACATTAGGTCCATTTAAATTTGAACCAATTTTAATTCTGCTTAAACACTAGTTTTAGTGGTACTTGGATACATTTTAATCAATAGGATCTCCATTGCAGCTTTTAGGCTGTAACCTTATTAGTTCAATGGAATAAACCTAGCATGCCTTGGTTGCAGCATCGCTTCACTTATTATAATAGGTGCATTTAGGGCCCGATGTAATTGCTATGATCAGTTTACTGGTCAACTGGTGTTTCGGTGTCCCTTATCTTGTTTACACTCGGTCACTTGTCAAGGCATGTAAGGTCATTCGGCGATATTTTCTTTGAAATAAAATGATGTATTTGTGTAACAATTTGAAAGTTTATTGATAAAAAAAAAGAGCGAGAATTTCATGTTTTAACAATATAATTATAAATCAAAAATGTAGTCAGTGCAAATCTAATATCCTCTGCAGTCTGCAGTCTGCAGATTGTATACATATGATTACTAGAAAGCTAGAAGAAGCATTTAGCAATACCTACAAATGAAACCATCTCACAACCAGTGAAAATAGAGAAATCTACACTCCGCAGACATTTTAACTACATAATATATTGCTTTTACTACTGACCTGAAGGTGCTGGATGTAGCTGGCCCTGGAGGAGTAAGTCTTGCCACACAGCTGACACAACCAGACTTGGCGTCTTGTGTGGACATTCTCGTGTACCGTCAACCCTGTCGGAGTCTTGAACGTCATCGGGCAGAACTTGCAGTTGTATTTACCTGAGTGTTTATCATAAAACAAAGTTGGTTGACGGCTCTTAGAACCAGATAGGTGTTTAATAATTGAGGTGAGGTATTTAGTAAGCAATGTGAAGTATTTGTCGGAGGATAGACTGTTTGTGAGTGAAGATTTGTTGAGTAAATTTGTTAATCTCAGTAACTGATCTCAGTAACTATCCATCACTACAGTCTGCTCGCCGATATCAACCTGCTATCGGAATTCCATCACAATTTTAAGCCACTTTTCCTTGTGCCATATCTCCACAGCCATTAAAGCAGTCAAATAATTCGTAAATTTACCAACCAGATGATTCAATAATACAATGATATATCGTTTCTAACAGTAAGCCGCCGGCGGCAGTTGCTCTCACGTGACATAGACGAAAGAGCACGTGATACAGATTCGGCCAGGAGATTGGAGAGCAGAACTGTAAAGAAAGCCGTGATTGGCAGGGGGTTGAGGATAAGTGCAGTAGACAGTGACCGCGTAAATCGGAGAGAAAAGTCATAACAGAAGGGGAAAGTGGGCACCTGTAGGTAACCTAGACTTGTTAAAACCGGGGGTGACACCTTGGCTCAAACCACCAGAGCCATGTAGGACCGGGTCTCAACATAGTGTTTCTAATGGTTCTCAGAAATAGGATCCTGCATTTAGGGTTTATGTTTATGATTCCAATTATTTTTTGTGTTAAAACGGTCCGGGTTAGACTTGATTATGGCCGCGACTATCATCTTATTCATCTAAGAACCACAATGCTACAATATAAATCCAGACTATTAACCAAAGAATGTACATAATGGATATAATGGTGGTATGATATGTATAATATCATTTAGTACATAAAAGCTTCAATTAATGATATTTCGTAAGTTGTATGTGATTCCTGGAATACCTATTTCAGAGAACCATAAGAACACCGCAAAAAATGAGAGAAATTTGGCAACCAACTTTCAGACATTCATAAACACTGTCTATACAGGAACCAATAAAAACCCAGGCTGCTAAGTAATAGTTGTATATTATAATATACATGTCGACCCAATTTTATTAACAGGCAGAGTGCAGACGCTCGAGGATGTAACTAGCAGCCTGCAGCATGCCTATATTACACCAACAACATGTCCACTGTCCAGATTAACACTCATGTATTGGTGCTGACCCCGTTAAGCTCCTGACACTTGCAGAGTTGGTGAGTTACAGATCTAGTTGGATATTCTGGTTGTGGTGCGATAATTGGGGTCGAGAACACTATCCAAACAATTCGCCATACTCTATCCAAACAATTCGCCATACCAGACAGATTTTCTGGCTGCCCTTTATTCTCGAACAACCATTCAATGTTTCGAATTTTCTGACCACCCAACTCATAAGGTGTTGTCAGTAAACAATAATGATTATTCAGCATTTTGATTATCCAGCAAGTTGATTATTCAGAATTAGCCGAATCCACGTCACGTGATGTACCTCTTTTCACGCGATTGGCACATCCTTATGGTATAAGGACTTAAGGAGCTCTCGTAATATCATGCCTTATGTTATGCTACATAATTTATGCGGACTACTTTTTTTGCGAGCGGCTGTCAAGTCAGTCAATCCGTCCATTGCTTGTTATTTGACACATCAGTGAGAGGAACTCTACAAACTATGACGTAAGTATGTGTGGAGGGGGAGGGGATGCCCGTACCAGGAATAATAATAAATTAGCCCACATTGAGCTGTCAACTTAAGAAGGATTTCTTGGAGGCAAGACTTTCAATTCCAAGTCAAGGGAAAAGTGACATGTGATTAGGTAATATTATGATAATATGTATTATATGTACTAGCAGGAACCCGTATAACCCTAAAATGGTGTCAAGACTCAAGAGACTAAAATAATTATTATCTATTTTAATTCGCGTTTTTGACACCACGTCTTGGGGGTCCAAATTTTGGGCTCCAAAATTCCTTTTCCTTAATTCCTTGGCCAATTTTTTATTTTTTCATGCAGATTTGGAGGTCATTAAAGTAATAGTCAACAAAATTCCAGTTGTAACGACCGAAATTTTGGCGGTCCGAAAATATGGCGAAATTTTCGGAAAACCGCCACATTTCGTACGTTATAAATATGTCTTGTAAGGTATATCTTTTACGGTTTTTGCGGAAAGTCGCGTTAAAGTTGATGCCGTGGTGTCAGTAAAATGGTACGGATAAACACATACATCCATATATAATATATCGTCTCGCTTTATATATAATAAGATTATGATACTTCGATATTAGGATACTACGACGATACTCGATAGTTTAATGAATGAACAGTAAATGGCTCTAATTAGCAGTGGCGCACGCCGCCGCCAGACATAACCACGCCCATAAATAGCGCTGCTCAAAATGCTACCAAAAATGTCGAGCTTTAATTTGACAGACTGTAATTAGTATACAAAACTGCAGGCTGCAAGTTGGTATTTAAAGTTAGCTGGAAGTCACTGTACTGAACATTCCTTTTAAACGTTTTGTTAGCCACGCTTGATCTACACTTTTGAAGTTGTGGGTATCGTTAAAGTTATATGGTCTACAACGCACTATGACTTCACTAAAATGTACCCTCAGAATATTCCAGATCTTTTGCCAGGTACCCTCCTCATTACTCACAATCACGGATTTCCCGATTATTCTACTGACTCGACCGGAGGATATTGCACAGAAGTCCTTATTAGCGCACGTGGGTATGATGACAAACACGAGAGGTCAGCTGCTTATCCACCTATCTATAATCCTCACCCTCAGCTCTCCCCCTAGAGACCAAAAATGAATGAAAGTTCAACCAGTTCCCGATGTCACGTACAGTAAGTGATCTAGTCTCTTGAAGTTTTCTAATAGAAAGTATGTTAGGTTGCCTCAAACATATTCTGATAAACTAGTGCAATATTTGACAAGTTTCTGTCTGCCGTGAGATTTGAGGTAGGATTTAGGAATAACGGCTTTTCAGAAGTTTCTAGGATGATTACTTTTTGAGGGAGTTTACATTTTAGATGGGTGTATTGAGTGCATTTTATACTTCTCGATCGCTAAGTTTTAGTGAGACACTCCCCTGACCCTGAGGGCATTAGTTGACACGCCCCGATTATGGAACGAGACTATTATTACCAGGCGACCAGCAGATATTTAACTTTTAGTGCCTCCTTAATTCCAGTTAAACATCCCCCGGTACTGGATATCTTTTGGGTAAAAGTAATTTAGTGTTCATCCCCCCGTACTGGATATCTTTTGGGTAAAAGCAATTTAGCGTTCATCAGAATATCTGGCATTTGTGGGTTCAATTCCCACTTACGTCTCACGCAAATATCCATTTGTAATCTTAATCCTTGTAATCTACTGCCTTTGCTGCCATTAATTCGGTATAAAATATAAACTCGATGTGATTTGTGACGTAAACATTTCTGAGAACTGGATAAAAGGGACGCTCGTGTTATTTATATTACGGTCCTGTCAGAAATAGGGCAAATCATTACGCTATCTAAATTGCTATGTCCAAGCGGAATGACAGCTCGGTCCCTTGATTTATATATCGCGCTTAATAACCAAATATTGAGTATAGATTGAGAGAGCAGTTGATCAGTTGCTCCGATGACCGATCACCGTCAGAAGATAGAAATATGTGGACAAACACTAAACGGCTACTGGCAGCTTGGCGTGTTACGAAATAAATTTAGTCAAATAAAATGCAACTAGTATAGGAGTTTATCATATAATTATAAAGAAGACAGATTAAATTTAGTCGTTTATGAAAATTTGTCCAACTCCTAGAATACGATGACTGAGTATGATGACTGCCAGAAGAAGAAATGACTGTTGATGAAATGTAGGGTATGTTGTAAAGATAAAGGGTAATATGTTGCATTTCCAGATTTTTCCAACACCAAATCATCGTCCTTGACCAACAACAAGAAACCCATGAAATGAATAAATGAAATTATTTAATATTTACTTATGTAAAGCAAACTTAAATTTGGGAACTTACCTTTCGGGTGAGTCTTTATATGCTCTTCATACTCTGACTCTCCGAAGAAGGTGATTTTACATCGGTGGCAGGTGTAGAATGTCTTACCAGACTGCTTAGCCTGGAATAAATCAAATAGTTAGAATCACGTTAAATTTTTAACTTAAGAATTGATGTCCAATTGAGCATGATTTTAATAAATTTATTATTCGTTTAAAATATTGCTGCTTCCACTTGTGAACCGTTTTTGTCTGTATAGTATGGGGTCTGTATGTAGTTAATTCATATGAGCAGCAACTCGTATGAGGACAGGTCTCCAGCTAGTGGCTAGTTCACGAACAGTTTAACTTTTAAGTTCCACTAAGTAGAACAATTTAAGTTCCGACACACTTACTCACTTCTTCACTTAGAATGATACGTTTGTAACACTCTGTAGTATGTTATGTCTAAGTAAAATTTATGTAGTTAATATTGTGCATACGCTTAAATCCACAATAATATAATGTAGGGGAGCCATCAGCATTTGATAGTTAAGTAGCAATTATACCAAAAACTCAAAGAGATCTAACATGATTAGAAAATTATTTATCTCATTATAAGGGCTGGGTCAGAACTTGTTCTGCACTCCACAGAAAAATCTTTATTAGCTGAGACGTTAATAATCACTGCCTTAAAATAGAATTTTGATCAAATTTTCGTAACGCATTAAGTCCAGACGGCAGACTTGTAAACTAGAACTCCCTGCTGGTTACCAACTTCGTTCGAATTAACAACACGATCTTTTTGCTTCCTTTCTGTGCCTGCAGTCTTCAAATGGTTTAGCAATTAAACAGTTTTAAGCGGGTATACGTTTTACCAACAGTCTAGAAATAACATAATTCCTAATACACGTTGTGGGGTGCAATAAACGCACGATATTAAATTGTAGACAGTTTCTAGACGCGAAATGGCAATGTGCCCAGTACCCACGCTATGTACCCACCCTGGCATTTACCAAGGTTGGAGTAGGTAGTAATGAGTAATGCTGAAGCATTGTCAATGAACATTGAACAGTGTTGATGATAATGATGATGTAGAAGGCTTCCTCGCGACATCGCTGGGTTGACATACGATTATATTCTGATAAATCAGTGTCATCTGGATCAGGGGAAGGAAGCGCTCAATGTGTAAGCTCAAATATGGATCTCTGTATGAACAATTTCGGTATCGACTGAGTGAGAAAATAAGATAATATCTACGATTTGTGCGTGCGGGCCAAAGGCATTGTCTATTTGTCTAGGCTTTAAATTCTGCAGGGATATAACTCATCTTGAAAATGGTGTATCATATACAATACAATATCGTTAATAAGTCAGAACTAGGCGATCAGTTGATGGCAACGTTGTAATTTGTTGTGACGAACGAACGTCGAACATATTATCATATTAAAATAATATACAGGCTCGCGATGATCTGCTGAAATGGAATTTCTGTCGAACAAGAAAGTGTTTAATTTATTGTGCCTTAACACCAAGCTGCTCTTCTTATACAAGATGTCAATTGCTTGGCCAACTAGCCACACAGCAAGGTTTATCAAGGATTTTACCTGGCTGTTAAATTCGCAATGTCCACCTGATTAGTGATATGTAAATTGTATCAATAAAGTAAAAGTAGTAACCACCGTACGCTATCAATACATTATGTGCAAAACATTTCCATGTGTTTGAATATTTCTAAAATACGTTGCAGGCTCTTACCAAAGAAGAGTCCATGAAGCAGTTCTTGGTGCCACTCTCCAGATGCCCGTTCAGCAGGCTGCGGTCTGTCAGGCCTGAGAAACCCTGCGAACAGTTTTGTTACATAATCATCAACGTGAAAGACGTGGAACAGGTTCCTATGTTTCCTGTATTAATCAATTCCAAGGACTGTTGAGTGTTGATGTGAAAACTTATGTGACAAAATTTACCTTTCGTGCCCCTATTTTGAAGAACCATACCTCGATTAGAACATATAATGTTACTTTATCATAATACCTATGTCGATAAACTAGTTATTTTGCCAGCAAAGAGCAATGGAGTTAGAACTATTTTTTGGTAACGAAATTAACAATTTTTCGACATGTTTAGATGTTATAATTGTGGCCAATGTTAACATGTTAACAATCTTCAACACATTCAAGTCATAAAATAATGATAGACTATTCGGCATTCCTTGCCAGGCTGTCCTAAACATCCCTCATACATATTTCTTAAATGTGTGACAGAATTTATCTGGTGGCACCATTTAACAAAAAATGTCGTTGAATATGTAGATATTAGTCATATGGAACCATTCTGTCAACTAGACTTCCTAAAATTTGGTCAAACACGGCTTCAAAGGGTATATGTTAACTGACAAGGTTTAAATTTCACTGCCGGGCGCCGGCCGAATTCGAGTGATATCTTATCATCTGATAAATATATCGTTACGTAACAAAGTTTGCCTAGAAGATGATAAGATAATCCGAACAATAATAGGGGTTTATATGGTTTCATAGTGTAGCTAAGTTTACTTCACCGTGCCATTTAATAATATTGCACGAATATCCTTAACTCCAAATGAACATGTCCATAACTGCTCTTTAAAACGTCAGCACGCCTATGGTATAAAGTTTATATTAAAGATTAACTTTAGAGCAACCGCTATATTTGATGGGTCGATTTCAGTGACTGGAATTATAACGGTAAAGACCGATCTCGCTATTTCCCAGAAACTTGAGATATTTCCCAGTAAATATAAAATTCCGTTTAAAGTGCCCACTAGACTATGAGATAGTCTAGATAGAGCTTCGAACATGATCAAAATCAGCATAAACATAATATAATTTAATGTAATATATGTGGTGACGTTAGATTATAGAACTTGGCAAGGGTATGAGGCAATCATGGTTTTGACAAGAGAACAGACAGGTAATCAAAAAGCTGACACCTAAAATACGACTTCAGATAGACCAACATTTCCCATGACCCCTACTCTTGTACTACTAGACACTAAATTAGATACGGACATCAAGTTCAACAAGCATATTATATCTATATTGTATATAATCCCTATAAATCTGTGTGTGCGTGTGTAATTTACAAATGGTTTAATCAAGAAAACGGTAAGAGATATGCGACAGGTTTTTTACACCAAGTCGTTTAATTACTGGCTGATACGTGTAGGGCGCTCAGAATTAAATTTACTTTAATGCGGCCGGTTTGGAATTTGGACTGAGCGAGTTCATGCTTTTGCACCGTTTTAACTTTTGTACCGTTTATACTTTTGCACTTCAACTGTGATATTGAAGTCCCGGCCGTAGGCACGGGTAACAGTAGTATATATATATATTATGATAACCATTTTGATAACTAGAATCTAGCTGAGCAAAAAATGAATTTTCCAGGGTTTTTACGGGTGAGATTCAGCTATGTAAGGCACCAAACGCAAACACAATATAATCATTAATTATGTACTTTATCGGACATAATTGTCACGGACCAAATTTTTCATGAACATAATTATTCACGCTCATGACAGCCCAAAAATGTCCAAAAATTGTGAAAATTGTTGGTGATATTTTAATAAGTGTTTTACTTTTTTTCTGAACTCTAGAATGTGACCGAGGAGTGATTATATTTGTCCTAGTCTACTAATAAGCTAATATAGTAATCGGCTACACACATATCTACGCACATGTAGGGACACACACACTAAAATTAATGGAAATGATTACAAGACTTATTCACGGACCTTAATGCCACAGACATTATTTTCACAAACTGAATTATTCACGCTAAGGTCTTCAGTGTAAAAGTAATGTCCGTGATAATTATGACTGATAAGGTAAGTACAATTTGTGAGAAAATATCTAGTTACCTCGGAGGAAAGATCGTATTTGAGCGGAGAAAGGGAGAAGAGGGGAGAGGGAGATTCCACAGAGAACAGGGTGTTAGTCTCACCCAGTAAAACAGGGGATTTCTTGTAACTCTAAGGGAAGTAAGAGTAAGTTATTAGGGGGATCAGTTGTAACGTTAATGATATACAAAGTGTGACGTACAGTAGTAGTTCAGTGTGTTGGTAAAGTAAAGATTAAAAATAGAAACAACAACACGAGTTTGCAACTTTCTATCTTGTGCCATTAAACTATTTAATCCTTTCAAAAAAAGGATGCTTCTCTGCAAAACTAATTTATTCCTTATGGAGCAGTTATCTCGATATGGATATTTATTTATTCAAAGGAGGTTCCTGTACCTGAGCAGAGGGTAGACACTAAATGTACCTGGGACCTATGTTTCCAAAACCATTGTTAAAAGCCTGCACATAAAAAACATGCAACCACGTACCATGAAAGATTTAACGTTTTTATGTTCATGTTAAAGGAATCCCCATGTTAATAGGACCAACTCCTCGCAGCAAAGCAATTTTACCTCGAAAGCAGTTGACTTCTTGTCGAAGATGTCCGTGACACAGGGAGGCAATAAACTGTTGTCAATGACGTTGGAGATATTTTTCTGAGCGTTGGGTTTGTTCAAACCAGCCAATGGTAGGAAGGAGGGTCGAGTGAACGAGGGCAAGGTGTCGTTAAGCGATTTCAGAGCCTGAAACAAGATCATTAGTTAATAATCTTCACAATGGGTTACAGTATAACGTATTTAAACAACATAAGCTGAAATACCACCCTACAAATTCTCGTACTTTCAGCCTGCAGGTACTTTAATTAGTAACCACAATTCCACTTCCAGCCTGCTGGTACTTTCAGCCTGTAGGTACTTTAATTAGTAACCACAATTCCACTTCCAGCCTTCTGGTACTGTAACCAGTAACCCCCCTTCCAGCCTTCTGGTACTTTCAGCCGGCAGGTACTTTAATTAGTAACCACAATACCCCTTCCAGCCTTCTGGTACTTTCAGCCTGCAGGTACTTTAATTAGTAACCACAAATCCACTTCCAGCCTTCTGGTACTGTAACCAGTAACCCCCCCTTCCAGCCTTCTGGTACTTTCAGCCTGCAGGTACTTTAATTAGTAACCACAATTCCACTTCCAGCCTGCTGGTACTTTCAGCCTGTAGGTACTTTAATTAGTAACCACAATTCCACTTCCAGCCTTCTGGTACTGTAACCAGTAACCCCCCTTCCAGCCTTCTGGTACTTTCAGCCGGCAGGTACTTTAATTAGTAACCACAATTCCCCTTCCAGCCTTCTGGTACTTTCAGCCTGCAGGTACTTTAATTAGTAACCACAATTCCACTTCCAGCCTTCTGGTACTTTCAGCCTGCAGGTACTTTAATTAGTAACCACAATTCCACTTCCAGCCTTCTGGTACTTTCAGCCTGCAGATACTTTAATTAGTAACCACAAATCCACTTCCAGCCTTCTGGTACTTTCAGCCTGTAGGTACTTTAATTAGTAACCACAATTCCACTTCCAGCCTGCTGGTACTGTAACCAGTAACCCCCCTTCCAGCCTTCTGGTACTTTCAGCCTGCAGGTACTTTAATTAGTAACCACAATTCCACTTCCAGCCTGCTGGTACTTTCAGCCTGCAGGTACTTTAATTAGTAACCACAATTCCACTTCAAGCCTGCTGGTACTTTCAGCCTGTAGGTACTTTAATTAGTAACCACAATTCCACTTCCAGCCTTCTGGTACTGTAACCAGTAACCCCCCTTCCAGCCTTCTGGTACTTTCAGCCGGCAGGTACTTTAATTAGTAACCACAATTCCCCTTCCAGCCTTCTGGTACTTTCAGCCTGTAGGTACTTTAATTAGTAACCACAATTCCACTTCCAGCCTTCTGGTACTTTCAGCCTGCAGGTACTTTAATTAGTAACCACAATTCCACTTCCAGCCTTCTGGTACTTTCAGCCTGCAGATACTTTAATTAGTAACCACAAATCCACTTCCAGCCTTCTGGTACTTTCAGCCTGCAGGTACTTTAATTAGTAACCACAATTCCACTTCCAGCATGCAGGTACTTTAATTAGTAACCACAATACCCCTTCCAGCCTTCTGGTACTTTCAGCCTGCAGGTACTTTAATTAGTAACCACAATTCCCGACAATCACACCACAGTAACTAATTGGGGAGTGTCGCCGCGATATGTCCTGGAGTTGCATAACATACAGTCAAAACATGAATATTATATTGATCACTAAGTAATATTCGATCATTTAAACTAAAAGCCCTTTTAGCATCGGCTGCTGATTGATATTAAAGAGATGCCTTCCTATATTCTTATATAACTTCCTAACCCGATCCTGGAATTGTCGGCTGTCGAGCCGTTTATGAGGTTCATTTTAAATATGTGGAATACCCATTTTAAGAGAGCAACAGGATGACCTATTACAGTATAATAACAATCTTCATTATTAACACCGCTATCAATTTGCGATCGGTTCGACTAAAAGTATAACCACACGATGGGTATTTCAGAGCTTTAAGACGGAAAGCTTTCCGTCAACTTTGACACAGTTACGTACTACAAGTTTTTAAATTTTTTATAAGATGCTATGTTTCAATAGTTCGGCATACACCAGATGATTTTTCAAAAGGAATAGTTGCATTGTCAGCCCATATTTGGTTAGTGTAATATATACATTATGCTAAAATCCTAGCATAAAATCTTTGTGCCAAAAAACATAAAGTTATGTTATATTAGAGACTATATGTTAGTAATGAGGAATGCTCGCTTGATTGTGGAGCCGAGTCAGGGTTGAATAATTCAGCTGCAGCTAATTATAATTTCCCCGATCCAGATAGCTCTGCAGACTCTAATATAATGAACGAATATAATACTACAAGTTGCTCTATCATTGCATGCAGATAGTTACTGGAAGAATTATTGAACACTATTGTTTCGCCCAGACAGTACCGCAAATTTCTTCCATCCACCAAATTTTGGAGGACCTGCACAGACTACATTTAAATATTTTAAAAATAATTTAAATACAAATTAATTTTTTTAATTGATACTTGAAGCTGAAATGTAGATATCTAATTAAAAACTTACGTTGAGAACTTCTCCATGCGTCATCCTGTAGTTGGACGGTGGGTTAAACCCCAGGAGTTTGTTCCCCTCCGGTTCTAAATCGTGCAGGCTCTTCAACGACGAAGCGAAACACTTGTCTTCCTCCTTTATTTGGTCAATATCTGATGAAAAAGGAGAACATGTTAAAATAATTATGATGTATATTTATGTATGATAATTATTTGTATTGCCAGGAAGGGTAAAATTAGTACCTGAAAATTTACATTTTCTATATTAAAAAGTGTCCCGGATCTCAAAGTTGTAGTTAATATTCACTGTCTACTTATAACTTTTTCCAGAGAATTGATTTTGGAACTTGCACGGCTCTTTAAACTAATCAGCATATTCTAGAGGCAGCCTTTTAAAATGCCAATATAGTTTTACAGCAGGAATCATTTTTATTCCTTGAACGTGCCCCCAGAATGATTGCCATTTATTACCGAAATCCAAGTTATACTCCAAACAAGATTACTTGGGATGATGTATGATATTTAACTGAATCAACCATTTTATTAATGATCTTCATGATTGCCCATTTAATATGCCGATTTGGTCAAATTACGAACATTTTGGAGCATACCTTGTGGCATAATTAGGAAAAATATATATATGAATATCTACATATTGTTTGATGAATCTCATCAAACAGGCAAGTTTGATCGAACTATGCGTTTTCAAACTCTGCGACCAACACTAATCGATCCCTAGTTCAAAATACGAAATTTACATCCAGCCGATCCCAAAATAATTTTCCTAAATGTGTTTAGCATGATCCTGCTACAGAAGTTTCTGTAAGAACAGAAACCAAAACCAATCAAATCTCCCTATTTGACCAAGGATCATAATCAAGATAACCCAAAATATGAGAAATTTACTAAATAGTTTTTAGGAAGATTACCTAACTTTAAAGAGATGATATCAAGATTCAAACAAGAAGTAGGCCCACGTTTGTGGAGGAGGGACGCAAAGTTTCATCCAATGCCTGACATTTAAAATTCTGAACAAAGAGCTGGATAAGTACTGAGTATCTGAATACAGTTGACAATGATTTTACTATTTATAATAGAGGGCTGAGCTACACCCCAGTGAAAGGCAAAACAACTATATGCTACCACCTTGTGTTGGCCAACCAGGTCCAGCTTTACGATTTTTCAATAATTTCAGCGTGCCATGCATAAAATAACATTTATCAGTCACGTCATTTTCAGTCACATACTTATTAGTCACGTGATCAGCTATTTCACCATAACTCACACTGCAATGGCATCTCAGCATCTGTGTAAGTGTTCCACTGCCCCCCCCCCCCCACCCCAATCCGTGGCAGAAAGGTGTACATTATAGAACTGTGACAATGCACTCCGGGGAGGAGAGAGAGTACCTTGCTCACAGTGCTTCCATCTACAAATATTAGCTGTCCCCTCAACCTGTCATATCTCTACCTCACTGAGATGAATTTTCCGTCAGCCAATCAAATCTGGTCCAGCGGCCAGGAGGACCAATCAGCATGCTGGCCCGGGCACACGTGATCAGCAAGCTTTTTGTGGGCACATAATATAGGTGTCATGTGGGTCGGGGAATTCCTAATAATATATCTTGCGGCTTACCCTCTCAAGCGTCTCTCTGGGCGGAGAGCTGATTGATAAACGGGTAAATTAATAAGGTTGTTGGCATTTTGATGAGCTTTACAACTTGTAAGCAATCCAAGTGAACACTGTGCATCCTCTGGTTGTCATTATATTTATGGATTCTGTATCGTATCATGGGTATCAATATTCATGATATACATTCAATAAAAGGCGTTCATCTTCGTGATTTCTAGCTCACGTATTCTTGAACAAACATGACATAGCCAAGAATCTGTACATTCTCCTAATACAGACATAATATGTTAGATAGGAAGACAGTTCCTCAAATGTAGGCATTGATCGAATGACATAATGCTTTGATATCATTCCACTGACAAACAGAGACAATTTAATATAGTTTAATATATAGCACAATCATACAGGGAAGTAAGGGGATCATACCGAAATTCTAGTTGTCAATGCAAACTACATGGTAATACAATTAATATGCTGCATAACAATCTGTATCCATTGTTATGGCGGTGTTAAAGCAGTCGAAGCTATCACAGGCAATATGTTCCAAGGATTAAGAGCTGAAAGTAGCGGATCTACACTTCTGTACAGTAGACTATAATCCAGGATACTGTATGTCATGTGTATGTATAATCTCATTATGTAGCTTTCGGGATGGTTCATATATTACATTTTAAATCCTCCTCACCCTCCTTACACCATGTTATATTAGATAGCTTTTGTGTAGAAATCACAAGCTTTTCCAAACCTTCTCATCCCCAGTCCCCCCCCCCCGCCCTATAGTATGTAAAAGACAAGCTTGTCTCTTAGCTTGTCTTTTACATACTATAGTCCACAAGTCTCTCTAAGAAATCTTGATTGGTCGAATGCTAGATGATCCTTGGTTGACTACATCTTAAACTTTGATAGATAAAATGAGTATAAGGACACGTTCATTTGAGTTTGAGGATATTGGTAAATAGGGGGGGGTGTCATGTCCGTCTATGTCCGCCTATGTCCTGTCCTTTTTGGATTCTATGAGACAACGGACGTGTTTTTTGGGACATTGGCGGACACGGACGGACATTGGCGGACTCGGACGGACATTGGCGGACTCGGACGGACATTGGCGGACTCGGACGGACATTGGCGGACCCGGACGGACATTGGCGGACTTGGATGGACATTGGTGGACATTAGCGGACATTGGTGGACATTAGCGGACAAACATTTTGAGGACTGAAGAGTACTGAAGAGTACTGAAGAGTACTGAGGAGGATGGCTGAGGAGGATGGCTGAGGAGGATGACTGAGGAGGATGACTGAGGAGGATGACTGAGGAGGATGACTGAGAGGGAGGAGAAGGATCAGGAAGACCCAGGAGGAGGAGGAGGACCCAGAAGGAGGACCTAGGAGGAGGAGGAGGAGAACTGAGGAGGATGACTGAGGAGGAGGAGGACTGAGGAGGACTGAGAAGGAGGAGGACTGAGGAGGATGGCTGAGGAGGATGGCTGAGGAGGATGACTGAGAGGGAGGAGGAGGAGGAAGAGAAGGAAGAGGACTGAGGAGGAGAAGGACTGAGGAGGAGAAGGAGGACCCAGGAGGAGGAGGACCCAGGAGGAGGAGGACCCAGGAGGAGGACCCAGGAAAAGGCCCCAGGAGGAGGAGGAGGACTGGGGAGGAGGAGAACTGTTGAGGACTGATGAGGAGGACTGAGGACGAGGAGGAAGAGTAGGAGGAGGACTGAGGAGGGGAGGAGGAAGAGGACTGGGGAGGATCAGGAAGACCCAGGAGGACCCAGGAGGAGGAGGAGGAGGAGGACCCAGGAGGACTGAGGAGGACTGAGGAGGAGGACTGACGATGACTGAGAAGGAGGAGGACTGAGGAGTACTGAGGAGGATGGCTGAGGAGGATGGCTGGGGAGGATGGCTGAGGAGGAGGACTGAGGAGGATGACTGAGAGGGAGGAGGAGGAGGACTCAGGAGGAGGACTCAGAAGGAAGAGGAGGAGGACTCAGGAGGAGGACTCAGGAGGAGGACTTAGTAGAAATGAGAAGGAGGACTGAGGAGAACTGACATGAGGAGGAGGAGGAGGAGGAGGACTGAATAGGAGGAGGAGAAGGAGGGGGACTGGGAGAGGACTGGGGAGGAGGAGGACTGAGGAGTACTGAGGAGGATGGCTGAGGAGGATGGCTGGGGAGGATGGCTGAGGAGGATGACTGAGGAGGATGACTGAGAGGGAGGAGGAGGAGGACTCAGGAGGAGGACTCAGAAGGAAGAGGAGGAGGACTCAGGAGGAGGACTCAGGAGGAGGACTTAGGAGAAATGAGAAGGAGGACTGAGGAGAACTGAGGAGGAGGAGGAGGAGGAGGACTGGATAGGAGGAGGAGAAGGAGGGGGACTGGGAGAGGACTGGGGAGGAGGAGGACTGATGAGAAGGATGAGGAGGAGGACCCAGGAGGAGGAGGACTGAGGACCGAGGAGGAAGAGGAGGATGAAGAGGAGGAGGAGGATCCAGGAGGAGGAGGACTGAGGAGGAGGACTGAGGAGGACTGAGGAGGACTGAGGAGGACTGAGGAGGACTGAGGAGGATGGCTGAGGAGGATGACTGAGAGGAAAGAGGAGGAGGAGGAGGAGGACTGAGGAGGACTGAGAAGGAGGAGGAGGAGGAGGAGGACTAAATAGGAGGAGGAGGAGAGGGACTGGGGGAGGACTGAGGAGGAGGATGGAGGACTGAGGAGAAGGATGAGGAAGAGGACATAGGAGGACTGAGGACTGAGGAGGAAGAGGAGGAGGATGAAGAGGAGGAGGAGGACCCAGGAGGAGGACTGGGGAGGAGGACTCAGGAGGAGGAGGAGGACTGGGGAGGAGGAGGACTGTTGAGGACTGATGAGGAGGACTGAGGACGAGGAGTATGAGGAGGACTGATGAGAAGGATGAGGAGGAGGACCCAGGAGGAGGAGGACTGAGGACCGAGGAGGAAGAGGAGGAGGATGAAGAGGAGGAGGAGGACCCAGGAGGAGGAGGACTGAGGAGGAGGACTGAGGAGGATGGCTGAGGAGGATGACTGAGAGGAAAGAGGAGGAGGAGGAGGAGGACTGAGGAGGACTGAGAAGGAGGAGGAGGAGGAGGAGGAGGACTGAATAGGAGGATGAGGAGGGGGACTGGGGGAGGACTGAGGAGGAGGATGGAGGACTGAGGAGAAGGATGAGGAGGAGGACATAGGAGGACTGAGGACTGAGGAGGAAGAGGAGGAGGATGAAGAGGAGGAGGACCCAGGAGGAGGACTCAGGAGGAGGAGGAGGACTGGGGAGGAGGAGGACTGTTGAGGACTGATGAGGAGGACTGAGGACGAGGAGTATCATAAGGAGGACTGATGAGAAGGATGAGGAGGAGGACCCAGGAGGAGGAGGACTGAGGACCGAGGAGGAAGAGGAGGAGGATGAAGAGGAGGAGGACTTGGAGGAGGACTGAGGAGGAGGACTGAGGAGGACTGAGGAGGATGACTGAGGAGGATGGCTGAGGAGGATGACTGAGAGGGAAGAGGAGGAGGAGGAGGAGGACTGAGGAGGACTGGGAAGGAGAAGGAGGAGGAGGAGGAGGACTGAATAGGAGGAGGAGGAGGGGGACTGGGGGAGGACTGAGGAGGAGGATGGAGGACTGAGGAGGAAGAGAAGGAGGATGAAGAGGAGGAGGAGGACCCAGGAGGAGGACCCAGGAGGAGGACTCAGGAGGAGGAGGAGGACTGGGGAGGAGGAGGACTGTTGAGGACTGATGAGGAGGACTGAGGACGAGGAGTAGGAGGAGGACTGATGAGAAGGATGAGGAGGAGGACCCAGGAGGAGGAGGACTGAGGAGGAAGAGGAGGAGGATGAAGAGGAGGAGGAGGACCCAGGAGGAGGAGGACTGAGGAGGAGGACTGAGGAGGACTGAGGAGGACTGAGGAGGATGGCTGAGGAGGATGACTGAGAGGAAAGAGGAGGAGGAGGAGGAGGACTGAGAAGGAGGAGGAGGAGGACTGAATAGGAGGAGGAGGAGGGGGACTGGGGGAGGACTGAGGAGGAGGATGGAGGACTGAGGAGAAGGATGAGGAGGAGGACTGAGGACTGAGGAGGAAGAGGAGGAGGATGAAGAGGAGGAGGAGGACCCAGGAGGAGGACCCAGGAGGAGGACTCAGGAGGAGGAGGAGGACTGTTGAGGACTGATGAGGAGGACTGAGGACGAGGAGTAGGAGGAGGACTGAGGAGGGGAGGAGGAAGAGGACTGAGGAAGATCAGGAAGACCCAGGGGGAGGAGGAGGAAGAGTAGGAGGAGGAAGCATCTAAATGTTATTTCCATTTTTTTCCGTTTTTGTCCATTTTTGTCCGTTTTTGTCCGCTCTATTTTTGTCCGTTTTGAAAATATAGGGTACCGAACGGACAAAAAACATGATCCCCCCTATAACAGCAAAAATTGAACATTTTATTTAGCAATTTAGGTGTCCATTAATGTCCGCCTATGTCCGCATATGTCCGTCTATGTCCGCCTATGTCCGCCTATGTCCGTCTATGTCCGCCTATGTCCGCCTATGTCCGCCTATGTCCTGTCCTTTTTGGATTCTATGAGACAAGCGGACATAGACGGACGTGACACCCCCCCCTAAATATAAGTGACGCTATTAAAAGGCACAGTGTAGTTGACTTTGTCACACTATGAAATTACTTAAACCCTTGATGGTTAGGATAATCGTCTCATCCTCTAGGCTAACTTTGTCACATAACGATATCTTAATCAAGTGATAAGATATCGCTTAAATACGGCCGGCACGGAAATGGTTACATTGTCACACTATAAACATGTGACGGAGTAAATATGGACCCCTTGCTGCCGTTTTTGACCAAATTTTTGATTGTCCAGTTGATTGGATGGGTACATATGACCATTACCTACATATTTGACGACTTTTTTCGTTAGATGGTGCATTCAGGTTTACTCTGTCACACATTAAAGAAAATATGTGATGAATGTTTAGGGCACCCTGATAAGCAATGTTGAGTAGTGTAAGTTTATTTGATGGCCTGGAAGTGCTGGAAATTGTTATTATATCATATAGTCGTAAGGAATTTAAACACAGAAGGCACAAACAAGTTTACTTTGTCACATAATCTTGATGATATCTGTGAAATTGAACAAATAATGATATACCAGCTTAAACCCCTTATATTATACGTACCATGGATCAAACAACACTGCTAGTACCATGCACCAGTCACATAAATCATTATCAGGTGGTAATATGATAATAGTGTCACAATTAAACTACCGCTACATGGTCAAAAATAGGGTAATTTCGTCACAAAAAATTATTATAACTTTGTTAGCTCCTTGCTGGCAAAATAACTAGTTTATCGAAATTTTTTTGATGATAAAGTTACATAGTAATCTAATAGAGGTATAGTTCTTCAAAATAAGGGCAAGACATGTTTACTTTGTCACATCAGTTATTATAAGAGTTAGGTAATCGTCATCAGATTAAAAGATATTTTTCGTAGTTTGGATCGATTAATACTTTAATATACCTGTAATAAATCCTATGCCAAATATAACACATTATCTTGATACTGTTGGGGCAGGGAAAGTTAATTTTGTCACATTTTCAATGTCTTTGACAAATTAATCTAAATTTTTAAAATTGAGCTCTTATGTTCTGGACAATATTCTTCCAATCGTTTCTGAAAGAATGTTGAATTCTAATAGAGTTATAGATCTTCAAAATAGGGGCAAGACATGTTTACTTTGTCACATCAGTTATTATAAGAGTTAGGTAATCGTCATCACATAAACATATATTTTTTTTGTAGTTTGGATTGATTTATATAGGTAATAAAGCAGCCTATGCTAATTTTTACACACTATCTTGAAATTGTTGGGGCATGAAAAGTTAATTTTGTCACATTTTTAGTGATTTTGACAAATTTAACCTAAAATTGTTAAACTTAAGCTCTGATGTTCCGGACAATATTCTAATAGAGGTATAGAATATAGATCTTCAAAATAGGGGCAAGACATGTTTACTTTGTCACATCAGTTATTATAAGAGTTATTATAAGAGACAATTTCATTCTATAATCATTGTTTTTAATCTATTTACGATTTCGTATAATTTTTTGTGACAATGTAAACATCAACTGATCTTAACTTGCATCAACTATATTGTCATCATATACAATTTTCCCGCCTTTCAAACCAAAATCAGATATAAATAATTCGCTCAAAATTTTAAATTTCATATATTGTGACAGAATTAACCTCATTTCCCAATAACCGAGTGCCTGTATTAGCTAATTATTCAAAACAACATATTTTAGGGCTATGATCGGTAGAGCAACCATCAAATAATGAGTTGAAAGGGTTTTTAGGACACCTCACAGTAGAATAGAGGTATGGTATCATGAGTGTGACAAAGTTACCCACATATTGCCTTGTAACCGTTCGATCCGTGCCCATTAACCAATGTTGTATCATAATTGTTAGATTGACCTAATTTACTATATTTCAGACCAAGGAATGATAATTAGACAACTGCAGTTAACTAAGTCACACAAAATGTGACATTTGAAACATTATGGTGCCTAACAACAATAGATTTTCTTTCTGAGCGGTGCATATGGGAGTATGGGTTACGTGGCTAATGTTCAGAACTTCTGAACGTGCTAGGTTAATAGATGTCAAAATTAAGCCACTATCGTCAAAAACGCTATTATTTTTGTTTACCAATATCCTCAAACTCAAATGAACGTGTCCATAAAGTAGTTTGTCAAGGTAAAAAACTTTAAACGTCATTTTATAACCACAATCTCCTGATCATTTGAGAAGCGGCTCAGCCGTTAATCTGTATTCTAAACAGTAAACTACGATGATGCAATCGTTTACGCTTTTTGAGGAATGGGTGTTATTTTGAGCAAAGGGATTCAAACTTAGAGTTAAATCAAATCGTTTTAGAGTTTGGAAAATTGGGAGGAATTCTGAGCAAAGGGATTTAAACTAAAAGGTCGAGACCATTATTTACTCGACGTTACATCATCTGAAATGCATTGAAACGGTTACCTGCGTGAATACCGTTTAAATGACCAAGTAAACTAATCGTATAGCGATGAGGTGGGGGAAGTTAATTTTATCCGTGAGAAATACTCTGCAATTTAGAAAAACAATTTAGTTTTACGACACCTCTTCAGTCTTCACCGTTTCTCGGAGACTTTTATCTCTTCAAACATTTTTCATAAATATCACTATGAAAACCACAGGGAAAAACCACTGAAAACCCATATATCCAATGTTCATATTTCACAGTCATTAGAAAATTAGCATAGATAGGAGTATATCCACAAAACATTAAACAAGTTGAACTACTAAAAATAACAAGTATCAATTCTAATTTAAAATGTACCTTTCTCATCTTTCTCAGTTTGTTCAGCAAAGCTCTCCTTTCTGTCGGACTCCAACATTCGGCTGATGTCAAACGAACAGGGGGATTTGGAGCATGACGGCACATCCTGGCCACCCTGGACAAAAACTTTGCATAATTTAGGAGAATCTTCTAAAAATACTAAGAGAGGTAGCTTTGTGAAACTATAATCATGAGATGTATTCTTGAGTTGCAGGATTCTTACCTTAGAATCACGGTCAGGACAAGTTTTAACATAAAGGACAGTATTTGGGAGCAAATTTAGCATGATCTGGCCCTGAGCCATTAGACCTTAAAGAATTGATATGCATATTGAAATTCAATCGATTTGGATAAAAAGAGGCTGAGATGAAGTCATCACTAAGATTTACTATCATACGGTGGTTTTTTAACCATAAATAGACATTCTACTGCCGAGTTTTATGGCTAGAAGACATTAACAATCAGATGTGAACCTTGTTGGAGGAGGTTGATTGAGGGGAGCTGTGGCCCGAGCAAGCGTCACTTTTGTTACCCATACTTTCAGAGTCGTTCATTAGCACAGCCTTGCTTGGTGAGCTGCTTAGCTTGGAGTACACGTCTTTACACACCGTAGATAGGACACAGACCTTCTTAAGAATCTGAAGAATTGTCGTAATGTTATAGACTTTAAGATTGGGATCGGATAGTGTTGGATAAGGTTTGTTTTCGGGTTAAAATATGGTGCACAAAGTTTTGATGCTGGATGGTGGGAATCGTACAAAAACAAAATGCACAGTAAAAATTCTGTAAGAATCAGTAAACTGGAATGAAGAAGTAAAAGAAAATGAAACTAACGTTTGAGGAGATAGTCGTGTGGATGCTATCCTTCAAAGAGAGTTTTAACTCTTCGCCCATTGTGTTGATAACCTCCGCAAACGTCTAAAAAGATAGTAGTATAGTAGTGGCCCAATATCTGGTACATTGAGACGCAAACTAAGTAGCAAGTAATATAACCACGACTAACGAAGAAAATGTATATAATACTGATTTATTATGAAGCAAAAAGGTTTGTTCTAAAGTGGTTATTTCAGCACCACCACCTCCCCACCTGTATGAGAATGTCACTGGTACTGGACCAGGAGAACACCATATCGTTGTTATCGTCGCAAGATACTATGGTCTGTGTCGATATCTCCGTCATCTTATGCATTCCTTGATATTATCAACAATTTTATTGAGAGTCAAACCCGGCAAAAAATAAAATAAATTAACTTGTGAGAGCAGGATTAAGAAAATATTCTCATTCAGGACAAACAATTGACGCCCGCACAACAAAATTAATTCAGAGTTTAAGGCAAGACTGCGAAATTAATTTACACATGCAGATTGTGATACAATACATTTGCGTGTATTATTAATCAAGAACTAGAGACAGTACTATGTGCCTCTGCTGAAAACAAAGGTGAAAAACCTCACAATACCTCCAAGAAAACGTGGCAGTATCCAAGTAGCCCGACATGATGTGATCCCGAACAGCTGTGTTAGGGTTAGGGTAGGGTTAGGGTTAGGGTTAAGGTTAAGGTTAACCGTAACCTTAACTCTAACCCTAACCCTAACGCTGTTCGAAAACACCTGTTCGGGAACACCTGTTCAGGAACACCTGTTCAGGAACACCTGTTCAGGAACACCTGTTCAGGAACACCTGTTCAGGAACACCTGTTCAGGAACACCTTTCAGGAACACCTGTTCAGGAACACCTGTTCAGGAACACCTGTTCAGGAACACCTGTTCAGGAACACCTGTTCAGGAACACCTGTTCAGGAACACCTGTTCAGGAACACCTGTTCAGGAACACCTGTTCAGGAACACCTGTTCAGGAACACCTGTTCAGGAACACCTGTTCAGGAACACCTGTTCAGGAACACCTGTTCAGGAACACCTGTTCAGGAACACCTGTTCAGGAACACCTGTTCAGGAACACCTGTTCAGGAACACCTGTTCAGGAACACCTGTTCAGGAACACCTATTCAGGAACACCTGTTCAGGAACACCTATTCAGGAACACACGTCGGGCTACTTGGATACCGAAAACGCATCTGGGTGACGTACTTGAACTCCATTAGCACTTTATGAGCCTGACCCGTATGTTTTAGTGAACCGTTTATTTCAAGACGCTTATAGGTCAATAAACGGACCATAAGGCAAATTGGAGGTACAATATTTACAATCTGAGGCATTTTTACAACCAATATCACGGCTATTTGGACACCGAGGTCCGAGACTATCTTTGAAGTGCAGCGTTTAAAAACAGTCACGGTAAACTTGTAGGCTCCCCAAATCATTCATTTTAAATAGTTCATTTAAATATATAAAAATAATATAACATTGCACAGAGAAAGGTTTATAAACGGCCTACAGTACACGTGATTAATGCATTCAAATGCGTAAAATTAGGAATATTTTGTAAATTTCTCCTTGGTAGTAGGTTGCCAAAGGTTTCAACATACATTGACGAAGTCCAGTATCGCTGACGGATTAACATTTAAAGGCTCAACAGAATCACGGCTGGTTACCGTTAAAACGAAAAGTGCTCCAAATATGACTTTTAATACTTTCAATACTTTCTGTTTGATATAAATTCAAGGTGTCGTATTTTCTTTGTACATTATGGGGTAATAGGTATTATCCACCAGACGCTCCTGGATATGACTATCCAAGCTGGGCGCTGTACAGTGTACCTTCTTATACACTACATTCACAACCACCGCATAATCCTGTACAGAACCTTTCTGGACATAATACAGCTGAGTATACGCGACCCAATAGTCGCTCCTGACAGGTTTCATTAATGAATGAGAGGCCGACTGTAGAGCCACATGACACTCCCCCTTTAAACAGGCTCTTCGGAGTAGCAGGCAAGCAGCCTGGAGCCGCAGGAAATACGTCCGTATGTTATAGGAGAGTAGTGATAACATGCTGTGGTGTGAGACCAGAGGTAGGAGGTGAGATACGAATTTAATATAAATTAGCGCACAGATATGTGGCGACTACTGCAGCACACCAGGGGATCCTACAGTAGCTCCGGACTGGCTAATTGCCAGGAAGTGATCACCATGCAAGCAGCGCTTGAGTGATTATTATTGGAAATGATAACCAATAAGCTCCGTGCTAAGTCTGCTTACTGTGAATGTAACCAGGCAGTCGGTTCCAGACAATTCATTTTGCTAATATTCAATGTATCCAGCTCCGTGTCGAAAAAGCTTACATACTAACTGTGTGTGCCTAAGTGGATGAACGTGATTCGGAGAATAACACGTGATATAATCGCTGAAATAGAAAATATAACCATCAAACAAATTAAAATGCAGCAAATGTAACCTCTATCTACTGCACTGACTGAGATGGCCTAAACAGGCAGTTTAAGGTACATATTATATTCAACATTAGATCGAGCATAATTATACTGTTTAAAGTATTCAGAGTAGGTACTTTACTTTAAATTTGGTATCAAGAAACCGGTTTCAAGGTCTGAATATTATATAGTCACTTAATAAATATTATGTAAATCTGCTCAAACATTAATTACTCGTTTGTTTGCGTTCATTTTTACGGGGGGGGGGGGGGGGGGGGGGGGGGTTAAAAATCCAGGGGGAATGAGCTACATATGGGACGATTTCGAATCATATCATCCAATAAAAATGTGTTCGCAAAAATCTTAAAGCTGTACAGGGACAAAAGGATTTCGAGATTATTTTGGCCAAAATTCGCGATACCGCGATTTTTAACAGACTATACATTAAACTATACATAAAATTTGTCGCAAATAATGGGAAAAATCGCGATTCCGTACATCCCGCGATTTCCTTTTGTCCCTGAAGCTGTATGGATAATGATTCAATTTGAGGATCGTGGTGAACCTGCATTCTATTCCTAAACGTATACATAGGTGTCCTTGAAAGTCAGACGAAACTTGAAATGATGATTGAAGAAAACATCTTGAAAATGTACGGTTCTTAATAAATTTTGTGAAAGAGGTCTGTAGAATTTCGAATTTCGAATTTGACAACCTACATTTACCCTGAAATCTATTTTTGTTTACTATAAATTTGACCAAAACCCATAATCATGGGTAGAGTGAACCGCTGCCAGTGTCTCTCTTTTCCAAACAAAAGAAAATGATATTAATTTGAGGAACCGTCCGCAAATGCAAATTGATACCGAGAATGAAATCGGTCGCTCGCTTTTCCCATTCAATAAGCTTTATTACAATACGTAAGCCGTGAATGAATGGGAAAAGCGAGCGACCGATTTCATTCTCGGTATCAATTTGCATTTGCGGACGGTTCCTCAAATTAATATCATTTTCTTTTGTTTGGAAAAGAGAGACACTGGCAGCGGTTCACTCTACCCATGATTATGGGTTTTGGTCAAATATCATCTCTTTTTGATTATAATGTCAGGATAATTTACACAGTCGAAACTTAATAAGGAGGTAATTTCAACGATTTCGAAATTTTACCTTTGAAAACGTTTCCTTGTGTTTAGGTAGGCATATCTGTCAATAACAGACTGAATATAGCACTTTTTACTCATTCAAGTTGGCATTAAATTCATATATAATGCCATTTTAATATCGTGGAAAGCAGAATATATTCGAAATCACGAATGAGCAAAATTCTCACCTTTCGCACGTGCAAACTTTGAGCGGACGTTGCGTGCGCATAAAATATTGAATCACCATAAATTTTTGCATAGTGTTATTTAATATATAGTTTGATAAGCATGAAAAGTTTCAGAAGATTTCAAAAAGAACTTGGATCACAACGGGACTCCAAAGTTGGTAAAAATCGTGAAAATAACAATTTTTAGTGATTTTAGCTATTTTAAATGAATTTGGGCGTGTCCCCACGTGTGCAACTTTTCGATTTTCAACTTTAAAACTAACCTATAACACAATTTAGACCTTTAGGAAGCAAAATTGAGCTCCACAACCCAAGGGATGGCCCAACACCAGAGAATACTAATTCACAACTTTTGTGTTTTTATAAAATTATTCTTCAAAAAAGCACAAACTTCAATAGCGAATATCTTTATGAAGGAGCAAGGTAGGAAAACTTTCCGGTAGATTTTCAGAATGCTTGAACAATTATCTAAGATGAAAATGTCCTCAGATTTTGAATAAAATTACTCCTTAATACTTTAAAATCGATTTGAAAAGTTGTTATTTTGTCAAAAATCAAGTTTTAAAAACACGTAAATTGATGACGTCATCAAGTGATGATGATGACGATAAATTATTTTTCGATATAATGTAAACTAAAGTATAAACAATTATCTTTAAAACCTGTGGTTCGAAATGACTGTATCTTTTATACTTTTGAATCTACGGACACTTAAATGTAGGCTACAATTTACTGCAAAAGCGTCTATACATATATACATATATATATACATATATAGCTTCACGACAATCTGTTGTAAAACAGGGGTTCCAGAAAACCCACTTCCCGATACTCCTGCAACATGAAACTTTTTTTACAGTCGATTTGGACAAGGTCTAGACGCTCTGCAAAGTTTCAGATCTCTAACTCAATTTTAACATGGTTTTTAAGGCACCTGAATATGGCGATTTTGGGTTTTTTACCTAATTTCGTATAACATGCTGGCGCGTATTTTGCGCAAATTTCTTAAAAACCTCCACATAACTATTTCTTATTCCTGTCATCATTAACATTGAATTAGAATGTTTTGAACTTAAATATACCTGCTGAACTACTTTCGATGAGTCTTAATGCCTGGAAAACAATAAAGGGGATATAATAGTATAGGGGGTACATAGTGTTGTGAATATAAGGGCAACGGTTATGCTTGCCAGCATTGTGATCAAGAGGCTTGCATATAATGAACATATTGACACGGGTGCAGAGTTGAGTCTGTACGGAACCTAGTAGTTTCAGATCCTTGTTTAACTTGCCGTACAGCAAGGTCATCCACTACTTTAGCCTGGCGAGGCACATAACTCCCTCTACAACTCCATGACAAATTATACCCCAAACTCGTGAAATTTGAATTTTTAGCAATATTTGGCCAAGCATACCCATTTTCAGAAAACTGGATTTGTACCTCTGATTTGTATCTAAGACAACATGAGTCCAATCTTGACAGTTGACAGCAAAAAATGAAAATGCAGGGTAGGCTGAA